TGTTTCTCTGCTGGCAAGATCTCCTCACTTTCTTTCTAATGTGAGCTACAGATTTCCTAATGTGATGCTACAGAATTCTCCAGTAAGTACAGCTTTAATTCTCTCACAAAGTTTGTGGGTTTTTTTTTTCTCCTTCTAGTCACACCTGGCCGAGCTCAGGGGTTATTCCTGGCTCTTTGCCAGGAATGATCTGGAGTTGTACTTGGGAGACCATATCTGGCACCAGAGATTTGAACTGGGTTCAGTGGCATGCCAGGCAAGTTACTTTAACCCTTGTGCTTACTATTTCACTGGCTCCATTTACTCTTTATTTTTACTGGGTTTACTACTTTTTAACCCATGGGTTATTTTCAGCTAATAAATACATATTTTAGGATTTTAAGGTATTCTGTTATTGATTTCTCTTTTAATTCTGTGCTAGTCCAAATATATTTAAGTCTTTTAAATTTTTCAGATCTTTATATGGCACTGTGGTAGGCAGTGAGGACCCGAAAGATGTTCAGCTCCTAGTCCCTGGAATATGTTACATGTCAAAGGCGTTTTGATTGCAGATAGAAATAAAAAGTTGCTAATTTAGGTGGATAAGAATTAAGTGGTTTTGTGGGTCATTTAGATGGGTCTCAGATAATCACAAGTCTTCTTTTTTTTTTTTTTTTTTTTTTTTTTTCCCCCTTTATTTTATTTTATTTTTTTTAAAGTTGTAGATTTACAATTTTTTGTGCTTTGGTTTCAATTATACAATGATCAGATACCCATCCCTCCACCAGTGCCCATTTTCCACCACCATGGATAATATCCCTCCCACCCCCATCCCCCCATCCCCCCGTCTCTGTGGCAGGGCAATCCCCTGTGTTCTCTCTCTCCTTTTGGGTGTTGTGGTCTGCAAAAGAGGCATTGAGTGGCAAACATGTTCAGTCCATAGTCTACTTTCGACATGCATCTCCCCTCCTGGGAGGATCCTCCAAACATCCTTTATTTGGTGCTCCCTTCTCTATCTGAATAGCCCTTTCCTCTAGGATACCCGGCTGGCCTCTAAGTTATGGAGTAATCCTCCTGGTGCTGATCTCAGCTATTCTTGGGTATTAATCTCATACTTCGTTACTTTATATCCCCCAGATGAATGCAATCTTTCTATGTCTATCCCTCTCTTTCTGACTCATTTCGCTTAGCATGATACTTTCCATATTGTACCACTTGTATGTAAATTTCATGACTTCATCTTTTCTAAGAGCTACATAGTACTCCATTGTGTAGATGTACCAAAGTTTCTTTAACCAGTCATCTGTTCTTGGGCATTCAGGTTTCTTCCAGTTCCTGGCTATTGTAAAGAGGGCTGCAATGAACAAACAAGTGCAGATGTCACTTCGACTATACATTTTTGCCTCTCTGGGATATATTCCCAGGAGTGGTATTGCTGGGTCAAATGGGAGCTCAATTTCTAATTTTTTGAGAATCGTCCATACTGTTTTCCAGAAGGGCTGAACCAGTGGACATTCCCACCAACAGTGAAGGAGTGTCCCCTTCTCGCCACATCCACGCCAGCATCGGTTGCTTTTGTTCTTTTGAATGTGGGCCAGTCTCTGAGGTGAATCACAAGTCTTCTTAAAAGTGGAAAAGGAAGAAGTACATTGACAAAGAAATACAGTGTTACTTTGAATATGAAGGAAGAAAAACTCAGCATATGTGGAAAGAATGTGCATAGCTTAAATAAGCTAGAAAAAGTAAGGGAACCAATTCCCCGAGAACCTAGAAAGAAGACAGCCTGGTCAATATAGTGTAACTATTTTGAACTTCTATCTTCCAGAATTGTTGTGAGAATAGATCTGGTGTGTTCAACCCACTTGCACAGGACTTAACCATGTTATACATAACCTAAAACCCTTCCCCCACTGTATTTATATGCACTTTAAGAAATTTAGTATTAAGATACTCTAAATATATAAAGAATAAATCACTGAAAGATAATCCCACAGAAGAATCAGCTGAAAGAGCATACATCAACGGTTACAGGGAGAAAGTACAGATGACCAGTAAATAGATATTCAACCTGACTGATAGGAAAAACACTAATCAATGGGAGAGAATTAAACCATTTGGTTATATACAGTGTCATCACAGTGAAGCAGTCTCTTAGGCTGCTGTCTTACGGTGGAAAGGTAGCTTGGTAAAGCTTCTTTGAAGAATGGTTTGACACTGTTGAGACGAAAAAGCAAATGCCTGTGACCCAGCAAATTTGCTTTCAAGCTAGACAGCTCCCAAGAGAAAGAGTGTGTATGCCCAAGGAATGCTTTCTGCTTTTCCTTTATATTCCTGTCATGCAGAATGAAAGACTGTTTGTTTGGGGAGAATATTGGAAACAAAGAGGTTAATCAATAGTGCTTTCATGCTGTTCTGTGAGCTCAGTGGTAAAACATGGGTAAACATACTAGAAATATTGTTTACCGAAAGGGGAGGGCAGCTTGAACATATGGTAATATGAAAATAAGCATTAGCATACTAAAAAAAAATCTTGGGCAATTGCTGCTGTGCTGTGTTTTATATAAGAATGTTTATAAACAGGGTCTGGATGGTGCCCACCTAGCAGTGATTTCCTCAGGGAAAGTCAAAAAGGAACTTAAGTCTTGTTCATAATGTTTTCTTTTCTTTCTTTCTTCCTTTCTTTCTCACACCTGGCAATGCTTAGGGTTACTTCTGGCTCTGCACTCAGGAATTACTACTGACAGTGCTCAAAGGACCATATTGGATGCCAGGGATCAAATCCGGGTTGGCAGCATGCAAGGCAAATTCCCTACCCTATGCTCCAGCCCATATTTTCTTTCTCTTTTTTTCTTTGAAGAAAAATTTGTTCATCTGTTACTTGTATAATTTAAGGTTACATAATGAACAGATAAGTCAAGCTATGTTTGCAGTGCCCCACCTGTTCCCAGCCAGCCATATGACTTTTTCTCTAATGCACCTGTGTTTAGCCCCGAAATAAAACTACAAAAAGTATTGTACTGGGGGGTAGGGCAGATGCAGTGAACTCTGTGAAACCTGTAGCAAGGAATACCTTAAACTTTTTGCTGCCAGCACTATGGCATGGTGACCTCCATTTCATTAAGGTAGAGGATGCAGTTCAGCTCTGGATGTCACTTGCGCCTTTTTGACTCAGAGTACTAGGTCAGCTACAGGGTCTGCAAGTCTTTGTTGGTGACTACTCCCCCCCCCCCCCCCCCCCCACCGCCCAGTGTTACAGTATCACTGTGGTCCACATTATTTTATTCAGCGGTCTGTTGGCACTGGAGTAAATGGAATAAATAAATCCACTCCACTTGGGTGGATCAGTTCAGCACAGTTTGTTGGTGGGGATGAGGCAACTATAGAAATAGTGCCAGGAGCAGGCTGGGTAGTATATGAAGACCATCAGATCAAACCCAGATGTGCTTGCCTGCTCTCCAGCCTTCCCTGCCAGTAAGTTTGTCTACATGCCTCATGGCCAACAGTCCACAAAAGGGACTTGCTGCTTTTCCTTTGTATTACTATCATTAAAGGGAACGGCATAAAAAAGCAAGCTCAAGATTAAGCACATAGATTAAAGTTTTATATCATAGGGGGCTTTCATTGGCTTTTAGGGACATTTTCGTTTTCCTGACATAGAAGTTAAGTACCTTAGGGAGTTCCCAGTAGCAGAATTGAAGACTGGGGCGGGGGTGGGGGATGAGAAACCTATGAGTAAGTTCTGCCCGCTTAGTGCCTGTTCGCTGAGCCTCCCCTCCCTGTTAGACCACACCATTGTTGGGAGTCTGGCTCCACAAAAATGGAGATGAACCGCGTTGGAGCAGACAGTCCACACTCAAGTAATTGGACATTATCTGTCTAGACTTTAATGGTTTTTAAAGATGCTCAAAGTGATTCACCCTCATGTTTTCTGTCTCAGAAATCTGAGGAATCCGGTGGCATGAAACATATAATAAGTGAATTGTTTTCTCTGCCTTGTGTAGGGAAAACAGATCAAAAGAAGATTTTGATATGTCAGTGGGAAGCAGGTTGTCATTTGTGTGGTGGTCTTGGTCATCCATTTGCTGCATTCCTTCATGCATTGTTCGTTGTACCAACGCTATCGCTGACTGAAGGGCTGCTGTGTGCTCTGCATTGCAGTAGGAGGGAGGGCATAGTGCTAAGAAGATGAAGACTGGAGAATTTCTGGGTCATGGAACATATGGCTTATGCCTTAATCAGAGAGTCGTGCAGCTTATGCACATAAGAGATACACAATGCACAGGAAGTACTGTCGTAACAGAAAAGTGAGAATAAGGTCCTAACATCCTTTGAAGAGAGGTAAAGAAGACCTCCTTAAGGATATGACTTTGGGGATGAACAGGTGACTACTGATCGAAGTGGGCCAGGGCAGGATGGACCCAGAACCAGCATAGTTTGTAAACAGAATGAGGGACTTGCCAGTGAGACATGCTGTGTCTGGCATGATGAATTGCATATAGCCTTACAAATGCCACTGTGGTGTGGCCAGCCCTTCAGTGGAAATGGGGTGTGATTGCCCAGTTGCCCAGTCTAGCTCTGCAGTGTAGCCAGTGACCCATATGAGTGCCATAGAGAGGAGTGTGTGCCCTTGGTGCAGGTGGGGTAATCGGGAGAAAGGGGTATGTCCCGTACCTACAAAGGTGTGGCTGGAACATTTCTGAGGCAGGTGGGAGTTTGAAGCCAAGGACGGATGGTTATCATAAATTCATCTTGGCTCTATTGCAGCTCTTGAGGCACCAAGAAGAATAGACTAAGATGTGGTTATTTCTCTTCCTCCTGTTCATACCCTGAGGAATTTCTTAAACCTAGGAAGATAAATGAGGTATAGCCAAATTGAGCAATTTAGTGTTCTTGGTGACAGAGTAAGACATAATAAAGATATATTTCACTCTCAGCAAAATAGAAAACCACCTTTAAAGTTGATTTTAAAATATCACCACCAACACCAGCAACTTTCTCCTCTGTGTTCATTTCCCACCCAGGCCAACTATACCGACCCCCAGAGCAAGCTGCGGTTCAGCACCATTGAAGAGTTTTCCTATATTCGGAGGCTGCCATCGGACGTCGTCACTGGCTACCTGGCCCTGAGAAAAGCCACAAGCATCGTTCCCTGAACCTTAAGAAATGGAGATGACGTGGGAAACTGTTTCAAAGGCAGATTTTGGACTCATGATTTTGTTTCATGGAAACAAAGTCATTCTGCTGTCAATCTGGAAATGTCAGTGCTGTGCCTTGGAAAGAATGTTTGGCTTTAATTTAAGGGCTGTGTGTTTTTCTTTTCTTTTCTTTTCTTTTTTTTAATTCCTTCTGTGTTTTCCTTCCAAGTGTGATATTTCCTGTTGAATTAAATTATGTTTCATTTGTTGCCTCAAGATGTTTGACAAGAAAATATGAAATTGTGCTTTTAATTTAACACAAGTTAGTCCATCAAACTTTTGCTTCAAAGTTGCGGACTCTTCTCATAACATGATTAGAGACAGCAGTGAATCCTCAGGCAGGGCTGGATTATTCCCGAGCCCGATGACTCCCTCCCTCTTCAAGAGCAGGCCGGCCATGTTCTTTGGTCAGAATGCTTGGCGTAGGGCCAAAGTTGGGGCTGAAGAAGAAAGAGCTGAGTAACTCATTTTGTCACATTGGACTGGTCCTCACCCTGTCTCCGGCTCCAAATCAGCCTGTCTTCTATGTTCCCACAACCAAGACACACACACACACACACACACACACACACACACACACACACACCCGATGTTGAAGTCAGCTGCCCTGAAACAGTTCTTTGAGAGCAGCCTGCACTGCTGACTCGCCAGTGCCAGCCTGGTTTTCAAAGGGGGGGGGGGGGGGGGCGATACCAGCATCAATGCTCCTCCTGAGAAGGGCTTTGTCTGGGTATCAGTAGCTGCTCCACTAATCAAAGCCACCTCCAGAAACATTGTGTTTGCCTCTTCCTCCCACCAGAGGAGGGAGAGCTCCTGGCCCAGATGGAGAGTGGACTTAGGTCCTGAGCCTCTCTGAGCCCTATTTCTGGCCTTTGGGAGGATGGGAAAGCAGACCCAAGGGCATGACATTGCTTTGGGGGATTAGACACCCGAGTCCCCTTCATTTCTGGGAACAGCCCCTCCCGCACCCCTCTCTGGACTTAGAGAAAAAGCAAAACAAAGCTGGGAGAGCAGCCTGCCAGGCAGATGGCAGCTGCCCGGAACCTCGCTTCCTTTTGTCTCTTTGTCACTCAGCATGTCCCCAATAACTAGGTGAGAGCAGGAGCGGGGCTGGGGAACAGCTTCCTCTCCCTGCAGGGTGGGAAAGAGCTTCAGCCAGGAGAGGTGGAGGATTATCCTATGCAGAGCTTCTCCAGCATGAGTCCGGTCAGAATCACCTGGAGTATTACTGGGACATAGGGGAGCCCCCGTACCCAAAGGGTCTGATTTGTCTAATCTGTCCTGGGACCCAGGAACTTGTTTTTCTAACATGTGACACTGGCGTTTCTCCAAAGGGTTCTTACTTTGAAATACACTGTGACATGGAAGTTCTCAACAGGACCAGAAGCTTCCCAGGTCCCCACTGTCACTGCAGCCCAGGAAAACAGCTGTCTCCCTTTTGTTGGAAATGAAATGAGTGAGCCCAGGGTCCTTCCTGCTTTCCTTCTACCTTCTCTTACACAAAGAAAACTTGAGGCAGGTCTACTTCTTTTCCATGAAGGCCCCCTAGTGCCCATGTGTGTCCGGGGGCTTGGGGGCTAAGGTGCAGGGAGGTCATGTCTGATACAGCTGCAGGACACACCCTAAGTGCTGGCTAGTCAGACCTCTACAGAGCCTGGCTTGACATGAAACTCGGTATGTGTCCCCTAAGGGGAACCCTGGTTTCTGTTCCTCTGGCCTCTTGGATTTGCTAGGGGTGTATGCCATGAACCCTGACAGGGTCACCTGTGTCTGTGAAAATGTTGACTCCTAAACCACACATTAGATCTGATGCTGGCAGTGGGGCCCAGGCATCCGCATTTGATCAGGATCTCTTGTGACCTACAAAGGCATGGGCAGCACTGCCTTCCCCAGCCAGAGGAGAAGTGCGTGCTCTGGACACCTCGTTTCCTTCTTTCCTGGCTTCCTGCCAGGCTCCGCATGCCAACCTCTTTCCCTATAGGGAGCTTTGAATTCTGAAGGTCGGGTCACTTCTCTCACCCCAAACAACGGATCTAAGCTGAGCCAAACTAAGTGTCAAGCTGTGAACAGTTCCAGTAATGAGTTCTGCCACTTTTAGGATGAAGGTAATTTTGTGCTGAAATAACCCTTGCTATGCATGCCCAGCCCAGCAATTCTCAGACCCTCTCTTCAACTTTGGATGAGAACTTTGTCGTAAAAAGTTAACTGGTGATTCATTCAGTTCCTTGTAATTGGGGCAACGGCCTGTAGGATCCAAAGGATAAACTCAGCCCTTCAGATGAAGTTAGTTGAGTAATCAGATTGTTTTCACAAGACAAACTGAAGTCCAAACTGTCGAGTGGAGTTATTCCTAGTACCTGATGTTTGTCTTCACTTTCGGATCATGAGTGTAGTATGTTAGTGGGCATGGTTTAGAGCGCTTTGTAATGTTGGAGAAATGCTGGGGAGAGTCCATGTGGATGAGAGGAACAAATTTGCCCCCATCTCTCAGTGAAAGCATATGTTCATCCAGATTTCAAGTGTGTCTTACAACTGCACCAAAAGTGTTTTCAGTAAGGAATCATATCAACATGTGTGGCCACTGGAAAGACGAAAAAGACATTTCATGTTTCCAGTGACCTATAATTTTAGTTGGAATTTAGCAAAATTTTAATTTAGTAAAAATAAAGGGGAAAGAAAGAAATGGATGGGGTACGTAGCACAGAAATATGACATAGAATAGACATGTCAGGAAGAGAGCAAACACCTTATAAGCAGAATGATCATTATTATTTAAAATAATGTTCTATCTAATATGAATGTGGAGCCTTTATAAATTCTGATTCTCACCCAAAAAATGAAACATGTAAAAGGCAATTGAAAATTTGTTATTTGGTGATAATTAGGAACTCCTTTGCCTTCTTTTAGATGTCACATTAGTCTTGTTAAAAGACAGTTTGAATCTTTTAGAGATGCGTACTGAAATATTTCTGGGTGGAGTCATCTGGGACCTGCATTAGGATAATATCAAAAAGAGGAGGTGAATTGGGGTAGTGTTGAAACAAGATTGGCCATAACTCAATAGTTGTGGAAACTGAGTCAAGGGATCTGTAGAGATTCATTATACTGTTCTAGTTTTATATGTCTTTGGGTTTCTCCAAGATAAAAATTTTTTGAAACAATTTTTTTAAAAGAATTTTTTAAGAATTAAATTTTTTAAATTAAAAATCATGGTAAAATATCTACCTAAATCTAAATATTTAATATTTCATTTTCAGCTAATGTAGTCTGCATTAGCTGAATGTAGCTTATAAATGCCAACAGTTTAAGAAATTTTGCCTGAATGGCTTAAGGTCATGAATAGAGGCAATGCCCAATTCCTGAAATATTTCACAAAGAAAGGGTTGGAAGAAAAGCAAAAGGCAAAGTTATCATTCAAGTGTTCTTAATGAGGGTTCTTTTTGTGTGTTTCATTGTTCTGAAGTTTAGTGACTGTTTTTTGTGTAGAAATAGATAGGCCTGGGAGACGTCGGTTTCAGGTTTGTCATAGGGTGTAAGTAAATCACACTGGAATGGATTGAGAATGCATTGGAATGACTGACCAGTCATTCTGACTGGCCAGAAAAATATCTCTTGATCTATTTGGTAGAATTTGCATTATTTATGTAGCTACACAGGAAAAAAAATTTTTTTTTTTTTCAGGAAAAAACCAAGCTCATGGGCTTGGTTCAAAACCTTAGTTCAAAGTTCTTAGTTCAAGTCAAGAATTGATTTCACTGAATTTCAACTGAGTTTATACTTTGGGGCCTGTATTAGAGATTGCCTGAAAGAAGAGAAACGACACTGCTATCACATGGGCTGCAGAGCTATCCCATTGTGCCCCCACTGACCTGCAGAATGAACTACCTGGTTCAATATTTAGTTGGCCTCCATGTGTCCTATTCTGGACAGGATGCCCGAGTGCTTTGTTTGGATCTTATTCCTTCTCATTTCTCTTTTGTGTAATAAAAAGAATATCAGGCCTAATAGCTTCAGGGTGACCAGGGCTACACAGGTAATACTAGGAGATTGGGGGTGGCAGCAGGGAGGGAAGCAGTGCCTGGGATTGAACCTAGGGCCTCACATATGAAAGGCACGTGCTCTACCACAAACCGTACCACCAGCACTGAGTTTCATACTAAGGGGGAAGTTGCCAACCTACACTCAAATTCTTAGTTTTCTTATGAGCATCACAATAGTATGCTCACGATCGTCATGATCAAAAAAGAAAATGTTCGAAGGGCATTCAGTACAGACTCAGCAACAAGCACCATGATCCCCACCTCCCTCTGGTCTCTGCACTAGCGAGATAAACCCTTTCCCGGCTCCACCATGTGTACCTTCTGCCTCGTTGTTTTTCTCTTTTGTTGGCTTTTAGGGCTCTTAGTTCCAAATCTGCAGCCAACTGGGTGGCTGAACAACATCACATGATCTGCCTTTCCATTTACTCATTTTATTGCTGGCTCTATTCATTATTTTTCTTGTCTTCTTTGTTGCTTATCTTGGTCACTTGTCCATCTTTTATTCTGTGTACTTTTATAAGCTTTCTCGATTTTTTTTTTAAAGGAGCAAAGAAAGGAGGAAGTACTGAGCAAAGTAAACATTAAGAGACCTTAAGGGGCTGGAAGAAAGGAGGGTGAAGGAGTCATGGGACGGATAGTAGAGGGTTCTGATGAATTAGAACAGGGAGAGCTGACTGGAAGCCACCAGTGTGCTTCTTTGAAATCGTGATTGGGGCTGGAGCAATAGTACAGCGGGTAGGGTGTTTGCCTTGCACGCAGCTGATTCAGGTTCAATTCCCAGCATCCCATATGGTTGGTTCCTCAAGCGCTTCCAGGAGTAATTCCTGAGTGCAGAGCCAGGAGTAACCCTTGAGCATCACCATGTGTGACTCAAAAAGTAAAAAAAAAAAAAAAAAAAAAAAAAAAAAAAAAAAAAAAATCATGGCTGTATGCCATTCTTGGTGTTCATCACGTCTGCTACCGTTGTTGATGTCCTTATAACAGTAGGCATAAGACCTTCAGCGGCTTGTTTATGCATTTGGGTCATAGGGTGGGCCAGGGAAAGAGCATCTCTGCAAACACAGCAGCCTTGAGTTCAGTCTGGTATTCTTCCATGACTCGGTGGCCTCCATGTGCAGATGCTTCTGTCCAGCTGCAGACAAAGCTTTTCCTGCAGAAGGGGCCTGGCTTTCCTGG